CCGAGCAACAGATGAGAACATCAAATAATCTTTGAATAATTTCATCAGAAGTTTAAGATAGTTTTTCTTTTACTAAGGAATGGTGCTAGATGAGAATGCCCCTAATAGGCATTCCTAATCTGCAATGTCTTTTCACCTTCAGTGAAGTATATGTTTTTACTTAAAAATGAGCTGAGTGCTCACTAAGTAAAGTTCCTGCCTGTGTGAAGTTTTTTGCTTTTTTTGTTGGGTGGGTTTTGGTTGTTTGGTTTTTTCTCTTGCCCCTCCCACCTGTCCACCGCATGGCATAGCCAAGCAACTCAACACAGACAAATAACGTACTTCCTTGTAATTGCCAATTTGCTGGGGATGACAAGAGGCTCAAAGGAAGCATGAGCTTCGTGAGTTGGGGGCTGAGCAGATGGAGTTAGGTCCCTTGATGGACTGGGTGGCAGAATTTGGTAGGAGGGCAAAGGCAGTGGGGATCATGGAGTTTTGATCCTACTTCTGGGATCTCTAACAGTGTGTGTGGCAGGAGGATATGGAAGAAAACACCTCCTGCATGTGAACGTAGATTTACACAGAGCATATATCTGAAGCTGTTACCACTGCTATTGTTATTGCTGGCTGGGGTGGAGAGGTTCTTTGCAAACTCTGCAGAGTTCGGGAAGACAGCTGTGGTAGGTTAGAGACCACTTCCATGCCTTGCTTGGAGCAGCTTGAGAAGCAAATCCCTAAGAGCTTATTTACTCCCCTTTTGCAATGGAATACTCAGAGTAAAGAACTATTTCTTCCTTAAATGGCAGATGTCATAATCTGAGTGTTGACTTGAAGTTGTATTTACTTTTAATGACATCTCTGAAGGTGGTTGAGGCAAATCAGTTTGAGGATTGTTACACAAATAAGTAGTATTTTTTTGAACTGCATGCTATTTTCAGTTTATGAGGATGTGGGCGATGTTATTTCTTTTTTGCTTTAGGTGTACAAGATTGTTACAACTTATTTGTTACTCCAGATAGATAAAAGTAGCCTATATCTATAGTTCTTTTAACTTTCCTAATTGCTGTCACGGAATGGAATTGATTATGCTATGGTACAGCACAGATCCCTACATCACTCAGGCTTTATTATCAATAGGCCTTTGACACTGTCTGTCACAACATCCTTCTCTCTAAATTGGAGAGATATGGATTTGATGCGTGGACTGTTCAGTGGGTGAAGAATTGGTTGGACGGTCACATCCAGAGGGTAGTGGTAAATGGCTCACTGTGCAGATGGAGATTGGTGACAAGTGGTGTCTCTCAGGGGTCTGTATTGGGACCATTACTGTTTAATATCTTCATCAGTGACCCAGACAGTGGGATCAAGTGCACCCTCAGCAAGTTTGCAGTTGACACCAAGCTGAGTGGTGCAGTTGACACACCTGAGGGATGGGATGCCATCCAGAAGGGACTTGGACAAGCTTGAGAGGTGGGCCCATGTGAACCTCATGAGCTTCAACAAGGCCAAGTGCAGCGTCCTGCACCTGGGTCAAGGCAACCCCCAGTATCAATACAGGCTGGGGGATGAAGGGGTCGAAAGCAGTCCTGCTGAGAAGGACTTGGGGGGATTGATGGATGGAAAGCTGGACATGAGCTGCCAATGTGCCCTCACAGCCCAGAAAGCCAACTGTATCCTGAACTGCATAAAAAGAAGTGTGGCCAGGATGTTGAGGGAGGTGATTCTGCCCCTATACTCTGCTCTGGTGAGACCCCACCTGGAATACTGCATCCAGCTCTGGAGCCCTCAGCACAGGAAGTACATGGAGCTGTTGGAGCAGGTCCAGAGGAGGGCCACAAAAATGATCAGAGGGCTGGAACACTCCTCCTATGAGGCCAGGCTCAGAGAGTTGGGGTTATTCAGAATGTAGAAGAGAAAGGGAGACCTTCTTGTGGCCTTTCATTACTTAAAGGAAGCTTATGAGAAAGATGGGGACAGAATTTTTAGTAGGTCCTGTTGAGATAGAACAATGGTTTGAAACTAGAAGATGGTAGATTCAAACTAGATTTAAGGAGGAAATTTTTTACAATAAGGGTGGCGAAACACTGGCACTTGTTACCCAGAGAGGTGTAAGATGTGCCATCCCTGGAAACAGTGTCAGTTTGGACGGGGCTTTGAGCAACCCGATCTAGTTGAAGATGTCCCTGCTCATTGCAGAAGGGTTAGACTAGATGACCTTTAAAGGTCCCTTCCAACCCAAACTAGCCTATGATTCTATGTTAACAGTAGATTAAAAAGTGGTCCTTTTGAATAGGCGCTAATTTCACATCACTTTGGAATAGCGCTTTTTTTGTTGTACTTTGTGCAATTATGTTCTTTAGTGTTATTGCTGTGTCTCAGAATAAGATAAAGAATCCTATAATCAGTTTTATTAGGTCTGTTTTTGTTAATTAAAGACCATTTCTTCCTGTGACAAGCAAGTTAGTGATGGCAACAATCAAGTAGCATTTGTTTTATATTGACATCTAGGCATTCTAAAATTTTTCACCTCTATAATCTTTTTTAATGCTGCATTAATTTTGTAATGTATTATTAATAGATTGTCACCCATGTATGTCTTTAAAAAATTAATAGTATCAATGCATGTATCTCAGTTCTCATAATTCTGTTTTTATTAATATAAGACACAAAAATCATTTTCAAACCATGATTCAGAGAAATGATTTAAATTACAAGTCAGCTATTACAGGTTGTCACTTTTCCTTTGGTGATAGAATCTTCCGCAGTGGAACTCCTACAGCTATTGTGGTCCATTACAAGCACAAGATTACATCTTTCCACTTGTCACTAATTCTGCATTTTGTCAGGGAAAAAAAGAAAGGTTTGGTCTTAGAGTGTTGCCAAGCAACCAAAATATGAATTATTCCAATTTCTGGATTTTTCTTGTATGATGTATGTCAGAGGGTTTCTCCTACCTTGGTGAGAGACAGTCCAGATGAACTTACACTCCATAGCTTTACCATTTCTAAGATTAGTAAGTAGCTGAATTTCTTCCTGTGGAGTTCCATTTCAAAACCAGACACTTTTTTTTGGTTCCCTGTAGATAGTTGTCAAAAGTCACACCACAGATCATCATTTCTTCACAAGATGTGAGATTGGGCATGTTTTCCCCTTTTTATTTTCTGAAGTTAAACTTCTTCTGAAATGAAAAACATGCTTCACTTATACCTAATTGTTTGAACTGCTACTTGAATAAAAAGAATGAAAAGGCTTGCAGTGGGCAAAGATAACTTGCTGTGTCTTAATAATCCTGTGTGCTATTACTCATGTTTACTGTTATTTGGTATACTATCTCTTAAGTATATTTTTCCAACACAATTAACTTGCGGTAATACCAAGTAACCACCAGTATTTGAAAAACTATTTATTAAACGAAGCTGTGTGGAAAAGATGAAGCGGAAATATACTTAAGTGTGTGGAAGTTATGGTAAGATTGATGCTTGGGGATAAATGAAGAGAAAATAAATGCACTTAACTTTGCCAGTTTTTAAATTTTGTTGTACATTGCTGCATATTTATTTTATTTTTTTTTTTTACTTCTGTGGAGCTTTTTTGTTTTGCAGGGACAGCCACAGGTTTCCTGGGGAACTAGGGGATCTCAGGGTCACCTCCCACATTAGTCACTGATTTCCTCTCAGGGTATATGCCCAGCACAGAGCCACATCTTATTTCTGGATTCCTAATCTGTGTTTTATGTGTAGGGAGCCAGGAAGAACCTCAGCAGCAATACTGAGGGTGCTTCTCTTTCTGCAGCCCTGCAAGGCCAGAGTGTATAACAGCAATTTAGGTAGTATCACTGCATGGCATAGGAGGTGGTTTCCTGTTGACATTCGTTTCATATCCATGTCTGCAACAGTGTAATAAAATATTTGCTTATGACTATACAATAATATTTTGGAGGACCTGCTTTAAAAAATGTCTGCCTGTTTGATCAGACCTTGGAGTTGCCAGATAAGAATGCATAGTCTAACCAGGTCATTGTTCCATGTCTGGGTGAGATCAAAAATGCACCAACCTTCCTGATGCAGCAATTTCCAATGAGAAGAAACTTGGATGTATGAGTCAGAGAAGAGCTACTCGCTGCTCTGAAAAGGTGCTTGTTCTGAATGGTTACATGAACAGTATTCAGATTGTTTGGGTAAATCTGAACAGATAGTGGGGGCTGGGTTGTTTAACATAAATTCCAGTGGATAAGTGACGTTATAGGCTAAGAGCGCTTCAGACACGAACACTTCATAGGGCAAAGCTAACAGTAGTTTGAGGAGGTGGGTGTTTCCAGCTGTTTTCTTCAAAGCTGAAAACAGGCTTTTCCTTTATAAATACTCCTTTACTTTTGGTAAATACAAGATTAGTTTAGGTGCAATATTCCACTAATTTTTTGTTTTGTTTTAATTTTCTAAAGGAGTTGATGACCAAGCTGATAACAGAGACACCTGACCAGCCAATCCCATTTCTAATTGACCATCTTCAGTCCAAACAGGGGAACCGCAGTCAGCTTCAGAGAACGTTGTCTGGCTCTGCTGCCCTTTGGGCAGAGAGTGAAACATCAGGTATGTTCTCTATGCTGGAAAGGGCTAGTCTCCAGTATAATCTTCCTCCACTTTCGTCCATGATTTTCTGGCTGCACGTTTACCTACTGAACAGGTACTACTCTGTGGTTTTGAGCATGCACAATAAATCTTGTTTGTCCAATAGATACTGAGTTTAATATCTATTGTTGGTTATCAGCTCAGCCTGTGTATGTATCATGTGGGTATAAGTCAGAGTTACAGGGTGGAAATAATCCCAGTCTCAATGAAAAAGAAGGTGCATGTAAAGGTCCCTTAATTCCCCTGCTGTCCTCTTTGCTTTCCCTTTTGCTTTGCTTTGTTTTCCCTCCCATGGTGTGTTTATGCATGTGATTAGCCTCTGTTGAGGTATTTTCTTTAATAACACACATTTTTAACAACCCATCATTCCAACACTTAATGAGAAGGTGCTATTACTACTTTATGAACTCCAGTGTGAATAATTTATGATTGTAGATCTTCAGAAGGATACAAAAAAATCTGAAATAATATCTGCTCTAATTCTAAAGTAGAAATTTTAGCTTTGATATTCTGGTACAAGCTACTGTTAGAATGTTGGTTTTGTATTTAAAAAATGACTGATGATCTGTTTCAGACTATAGTAGATCTCAAATAATTGTTGATAGTCAAAATGTTAGTTGCCTGACAAATTAACTTTTTATTTGTATCAAATGTAAAGTTTTAAGCATAGGCAGCCAAACATGTAAGAGAATAAATGGTGGTTAAGGACTTTTTCATAACAAAAAATAAGATGTTATGTTTTTAATGAAAAACATATTAATGAATTTCTAAATTTTTTATGTTTAGGAAATGGAAGAAATATATGAAATTTAGCATAAATCAGATATAGGAGAACAAAAAGAGCTAACTTTAGTTTGGATTGATAGGTCTTGTTTTTTCTGGGTTAATTGTTTATGAAGTCTGTGAAAAATGACCCTACAAATGTTATAATTTCCTGATTCAATTCTTTTAACAGAAAATAAAGGAACAAGGAGAGATTTTAGAAGTTATGATAAACCTTGGCAGGTAAATGCAAAAAAGCCTAAAAAGTCAAAGAGCGACCTTGCTGTGTCCAACATATCTCCACCATCACCGGAATCCAAGTCATGTAAGAAAGCTTCACTACATTATTAACTCGTGCATACTTCCAAACCCATAGTATGTTTTTCTGTTGAATTAAGAATAAAATGGAAAGCAAAATATGAGCGGCTGAAATGGCTATATAAATATATTAGAAGAGTTTGATTCTTGGTTTACTTTCACTTGAATTATGAGTATTTAACAATACCCTATGTTGTCATCTATAGATAGAATAGAATCCTAGATAGATAGACAGATAAAAAAAGAGAAGAATACCTGGGTGTCGTGCACAATTTTATGTTCAGATACCAATTATGATTTGATGTTTTAGTTTGCATTGCCATTTTGCATGTGTAAAAGCTGTTCTGTTGATATTGGTCCTAATAACAGATTTTTTCAGTGGGTCGGGCAATGCATAACTATGAATTATGAACAGATACTGTTCAAGGTATGAGGGCAGTGTCAGCAGAACAGGTGTTCTGCTCTGAGAGTTGGTGAAGGAACCTAAACGTACGCTGAAAGAAAAGGCAGAATAGAAATAGAGTGACTGAAGAGAATATTGTCAATGACCTGTAAAACAGAAGTAGTAAAAATAGAGGCAGCAAGCCTTAATGAAGTATAGTGCTTCTTGTGTACTGGCTATTGAAGAAATTTATTTTTTAAGCTTGATTTTTAATGGATATTTTACACAGATAACTATATCTACAATATTCGTACATTTATATGTATAGGTAGACACACACACAAGTGTGTATACAAGATTTGTTCTCTAAAATAGATTGCAAAATTATATTTTCTTCTGTTGACTATTGTAGCTTTTTGAAATTTTTATGATAGCCAATTCTAATAAGTTGGAGCGTGATTAGGCAGACCAGATGAGAACAGAGATATATCGTACTCTTCAACAGAAGGCTTGCTGTCTTTCCTGTAAAACCAAGGTGGAGAAGTCTAGACTTCAGTGGAGTCAAAGAAAAATCTCCCAGTGGCCTCAGTGGGTCAAAATATAGCACAGCAATGGGTAAAGTAAATCATGATAGATTTATGCAATAGAGACACTGTGCTTTTGGGTAATTAACAGTCTTGTATAGTTATGAAACCTTTTTGATTGATAATAAATAACTGTAACCAGTGAAAAACAGCTGTACAGGTAGGCGTGTCCTATCGCGCAGCTTTTCTCAGGACTGTATTGTCCTAGCAAGATTTATGGGTTATTTTGTTCTGGAAATGGAGCATTTGTTTCTGTTTCTTCTTCTTGAAGCACATTCCCTGCTTCAGAAAGACTCAGATTTCATCATCAGTTCCGCTGTACCTCTCTACGGGCACATGAATTTTTAAGTCAGTCCAAAAGGAACATGTGGATTTTAATTCAATCTCTGGAGTAAATAGGGATATTCAGAGAAGTGGTCATAGTCACTCATAATCTGAGTCTAATCTAACAGTCTTTGCTGGATAACAGCTGTTTATGGAGATACACTGTTAGAAACAGTGACCAAGGGTGTTGTGAGCTGTTCCTGTCATCATACTGTGTTCTTCTCCATCCTTGTGCGTGCACTTCAGGATCTGTGATACGCATCAAGTCACAGCCATGCCATCTCCTAAAGATCTCAAGTTCTCAGTCTTTATCCCAGGTAGGGGTGTGACATCATGTCATTCCCTTCATTTGTGTGCCTACTACAAGTTTCATGCTTGTTGGTCCTTAGGTTGTCCCAGGAGAAGGACAAAGAGGAGGCTGGGAACTCAAAGCTACTAGGTCAAATGTCAAGCAAGGAAATAGTTTATATATCCGTAATAAGACTGGACTCAAGGATCTGTCCTTGTGGACTGAAGGACATCTAATAATGCTCTTCAATTGGTAAGGCTTGCTTTCAGGCTACCTGAGTCCCGAAGTCTAGCAGTAGAGTTTGTGGGAGTGCAGCTTTACTCCCAACAGAGAAAGATAGAATCAGGTTGTGCTTAAGGCAATTGGGCATACATAAATAGAGGGCAGTATATGGGATTCAGCTGAGCATGCTGAGAGAGGACTACTGTCTTTGCAGAGCCATTCTATCATCACTGAAAGGTCATGATGATTGTGGGAGGCTCCTGATGACAAGAAAAAAGCAAATATCACATTGATTTTTGAGGAAGGGCAAGAAGGAGACTTTGGGGACTACAAACTGGTCAGCCTAGCCTCACTCTCTGGGAGGGTTAGTGATCAAATTTTCCTGGAAGGTGTTCCCAGCCACAAGAAGGTGGAAAATGTGAAATGGAAAATGGATTTATGTGATCATACGTGCCCTGATCAGATCAACCTGATTGCCCCCTTAGGTGAAATAACTGGCCCTGTAATCGAAGAAAAAGCAGTGGATGTTTAATACCTTAACTTTAGCAAAGCCTTTGTCAGTCTCCCATAGTATCCTTATAACTCAATTGGTGAGATACAGACTGGATAAGTGGGCAATAAGATGTCTGGAAAGTTGGCTCAGCTGTTGGATTCAAGGGATTGTGACTAGCAATGCAAGGTCCAATTGGAAAGCCTATCATCGTGGCATGCTTAAGGAAATGGTGCTGAGGCTAATACCATTTGAAAGTCTTTCTTAATATCCTCGATGAGGACGTAGAACATTCTCTTAGCAGGTTTGCAGGTGAGACCAAATTATGGGAAGTGGTTGGTATTCTGGGTAACAGGGCTGCTATTCAGAGGCACATCAACAGGATTAAGGAATGGGCTGAGAGGAACCTCATGAAGTTCAACACAGGCAAATGCAAAATCCTGCATATTGGATGGATTAACCCTGAGCAATAGCATAAACTGGAGTCTGAATAGGTAGAAAGTAGCTTTGCAGAAAAATACCAGGGGTGCTGATGGACAAGAACTTGAATATAAACCAACTGTGGCTCTATGCTCTTGCAGCTCTGAAGGAGAGTTGCATACCAGGCTGCATTAGCAAGAGTATAGCCAGCAGTGTTTATTTTGCAATTTTGAGATGGCATCTGGAGTGCAGTATGACAGACAATGGTGTACTGGAGCAAGTCCAGTGGAAGTCCACCAAGACAATGAGAGGGCTAGAGCATGGGATGGACAAGTAAAAGAAAATGGGCAAAAGAAACATACTGCGAGGGTTGTCAAACATGGGAAGAGGTTGTCCAGAAAGGCTGTGGAATCTCCATCCTGGGAGATACACAAAACTCAACTTGATAGTCTGAGCAACCTGCCCTCAATGGACCAGTTTTGAGCAGCCGGTAGGACTAGAAGACTTTTAAGAGGTCCTTTCCAGCCTAATTATCCTCTGATTCCATGTTTTTCTGTTTACACCCTTTCCTATTTTTTTGTCTGTACCACTGTTTTAAACCTTGATTCCTCCTATTATTTTCGTGACTTACCCCTGCAAATATTTGTCTCTGCAACTTTTTGAAAATAACTTGTGTATTTGAACTGCATTTTTTTTTAAATTCCTATCACAGAGCCTGTTTTCAGCCATGTGCCTTTTTGCCATATCTTGCTTCTCTTATTTTCTGCTAACAACCAAATTAATACTGAGGCGTTTTGACATCTTTTTGCTGGGTTTATGCCAAAATCAGGGGGTACTGTATGCCCCTTCAGCCACACAGATCAGCAGAAAGCAAGCATGTTCAGAAGCCGTTTATTACTCTGTCCAGGTGTGCACAGCATATTCCATTTGTTTTGTGTCTTCAACTTGTACCTCAAAACATTTTTGGGTGTCATTGTACTTTTTTTTTGAAGCCTCTCCAAAGAAGTAGTAAGGATTCATCTGAGAAACAGAATGTTTTGGGCCTGCTGATACCTGAAGATTTACTCAGATTTGTGTTTAAAACAAACAAACAAATCCCAACAGCCACCTAAAAAACCCCCCAAAACTGCCAAAATAAACCCAAAATTTAGAGGAGTCCATCAGCTGTAATGTGCTCTGTTGCAAAGCTGTTGTCTTCCAACTGTCTTGTTTAAATGATCCTGAACTGGTAAGTTTATTCAGAACTGAGAATTATTATTTCATAGGAATCTTTGGAAACATCAGAGGAATTGATTTATTTAATTAGGAAATATTTTTTTCCTTCAGAAGAGATGATGTTGACTGCAGTGTGGATGTTATTCCTGCATAGATAATCTCTTCCATAGGCGTTCAACATTTTTACTGGAAAGATTCCTCCAGTCCCTCCTCCTGCCTGTTACGATCTCAGTCGCACCTGAAACAAACACAGAATCAAGAAGTCCTGGTATCTAAGGGATCTGACCACTTGTTTTGTGTGTGCAAAAACATAGTTAAGCAGAAGCTGCTACTGTTGTTTGGCAAGGAAGAGACTTGAAGCTGGGGCTCCTAGTGTATGTGTGTGTCTGTGCATATATAAATATACTTAATGAAATGTTTAGATGATTACATTCTGTGTTTGAAGACGAACAAATTTCGAGTTTGTAAATAGTTTGTGAAACAGACTTCTTGCTTCCCAGCTAGCTACTTTTAGGCAAAGTAGGTTGATCTCTTCACCACCTCCGTGTTAAATCAGATCACAGATCATCCTTTCACTCTGCTTCAGTTCACCATTCTCACCATATCCCATTTACAATTTACAATATTGTGTACTTTTGATTGCCCTTAGTCAATGTAGGACTGAAAGCCATCATTTTCTTAGCATTATAATATCCAGGTACTGTGTAAACCGGTTTGGCTATATTATCAAAGAACTCTAATCTGAATGCTATTGTAAGATTTAAATACATGAATAATTTTATGCTCAATAATAACACATATGTTTTTGTTCTTTGAGATGTAAGATGGTTGTACGATGTGTCAGTGAAATGTAGGATTTAATGAGCAACTGGTCTGATTCTGTCTGCAAATCAGGTCTTGAAAACGCACGTATATGTAGATAAAAACAGTACTGATCTTGTACCATCATCCAGTAGAAGATAAAGGTCTACTGATTTTTGACAGAATTCATAACACATCTGTGAATGAATCTGATGTGCTTTTGTTAGGAGGGCACGCCACTAGAAAATCAGAAATACTGGAGAGCATGTCTTTGCAGTCTTCCAAGGTGAGGTGGGGAAATCTCAGCTCCATAAAGGGAAAACCTAAATATTTCTGTACAAATGCTATGATGTAGAGGTAATAAATTTTCTGAATTGTAGGCAAATAATTTCAAAACAAAATGTTATTTAATCTCTCAAATAACAGAGATGAGGTTGAGGCAGGTAATGTGATGAGTGATTTAAAATTGCTGATATGATTTTGAGGAATGAGTGAGTATAATAAAGAAAGGAAGGTTAGAATATTATGAAAGGATTTTACTAAGTGTATAGTGGCATATGCATGGAAATTATTTATGATGTACTTCATACATACAGAAGAAGATCATGTATTTCAAAAGATCTCAAGGAAGGCTCATATCGTCGTTATACAGTTCTGCATGCTTCACACAAAGCCATCCATCTGAAAATGACCAGTGCTTGTTGATCCTATAGTTGGGAAGATACAAGTTTATATTTTAAAAACATTTGTAAGCAAGCAGAAGACGAAGCTTGAAAGGAGAGATATGCCACATGATGTAATGAAGTAGGTTTTAGTTTTAGTAAAGAATAGGTAAGTAAGAATTATGTTTTCTCTAGAAGTAATAAAAATTTCAGTCTGTTCTAATTCTGCATAACTTACCCTCAGTTTTGGTTCGATAGAATGAGCGAAATTCATTGTTGAAACAATTTCTATTGAAACTCAGAAGTGTTCCATGACAGCATATCTGTTTTGAAACACTTTCACTGAAGTAAAAAATGGTTCACTGAAACATTTTGTTTGTGGGACATTTCTCTGAAACTAGGGACCGGATCATTGTCTCTTGAGCAAGTTGCCCTATTTTCCAAGGAAAGACTCTTGATATTCTCATTTTCCTGATGCAGGTTGGTCCATATACTCAGCAGTTGCTGGTCCCAGAAGCTCCACAGCTGTTGAGTAGAACTTATGCTTGTTTCATTCAGCCTCTGACCCATCAAAAAATTGCATGGTTTCTCAAAAATTCTTTTCTTTGGTGCTTTGAAAAATGTATTTTGATTCAAACTGACGTGATATCAAATTCCAGTTTGTTAAAATTTCCTGCAACCTGGAAACTCTAAGGTTTGGTCATCTTTGTATGTGGTTCTACTATATGAAATTATTGCCTGTTTGTATTTTGGTGGTACTATGAGTTTTCTGTGGTGTGGTGAGTTCAGTATAAACATGGAAAGAAAAGTCTATCAAACTGTTAGTAGGCTAGAGTGAGAGATGCTGTAGAATATAGTGTTGGTACACTGAAGGGAGAAGATGAGATGGCTGAAAAGTCAGGCAGTAAAGGAGCATGTGGTTGCAATGTAAAACGAAGGTGAGTGAAAATAGAGACCTCGTTATAGAATTCCTTTTCTAGTTTACTAAATATTTATATTTACAGTTAGTAAAGTTTAGAAAAAATACTAGATGGAACATTTTGTTTTCTGTAAATAAGAAAAAGGATAAGAAATACTGAACTTGTGCTATTAAATCTAAGTTAATTATACTAGGGTCTATGAATAGAGGCAATTTTTGGTCACACAAAAATTTAGATAACTTTTAATGAAGATAGTGGTTCCTAAACCAGGAATTATAAATTAAATGATTGGCATTTAAAAGTATGAACAAAAATTATAAGCTGTCCATCTGAGCAGAGGCTATTCATACCCTAATACCTTAAAGACTATATCTGTTCACTAGGAATCACCATAGCTCATTATTTCCGTTGTCCTCAGAATGAAATACATGATGTCTTTTTTGAACACAAAGCAGAACTGGACTCTGACACTCCAACTTGTCCTTCTCTTCCCTTCTCTGTATTGAGGCTTCCTGTGTCTCTTTCCTCCTACTCTTACCTCTGTAGGTCCTTTTTAGCGTCTCCTTTGTCTTCTGTCTTTGACAATGTCTGTAATTGCAGTCTAATGTCTTAACTTCCCTAATGCTTACCCAGGTTCCTGAATGGGTGTTACAGATCAGAATATAGTGTGGGTTGTCAGAGTCTGTATATATGTCTGGTTTGAAAATGGCTTGTTTTATGTCTATGGGAGATGGGATCACGTTCTTTGTGACCAAAGGACTTAAACATACCATTATCCCATTTCTTTGCCTGGAAAAGATGACTATTGACTTAACTTCAACTTTCCCTAGTGGACTTGATCCAAAGTGGAGCAGATTCTATATTCACACATAGGGCAGTGAGCAGTAAGGCAAATTTCAATAGCAACAGCTATTTAACACATTTTGTAATAGCTACCAGAACTTGAAGTCTGACCATAATTTGCTTGTACTGTCATAAAAGCACTCTGAAATTCCAAATGATTGTAAGATACCACTTGACCTGTCAGAGTCTGCAAGTTTCCGTCTTAGCATGTAAGGAAAATGAAGTTTGTGAGCATAAATTATTTGACAGCTGTCAAAACAGTAAATAAAAATTTCAAAGCTGGCCAGAATATATTGGATATTATAGGCTTTGTTTTCGAAGTTATTTTTAAGTGACTAGTTAGCAACCATGGATGAATGCAACTGGTCCTTTCTGTTGGGAACGTAGACTAGGCATCATCATCTTCACACCAGCATGTGCAGTTCTCAGCACGGTAATGCTGTGTTTGGACACAACCCAGCAATTGCATTTGGTGGCGAAGGCAGCAGATCGCCTAGTTCAGAACACTGGCAAAAAGAACATGTTAAACTGCAGTTCCAGAGACAGCATCATTTTTGTTTGCATTTCTACAAATTGTTCAAAATGTTCACATTGGTCAATGCAGTTCTGTTCATTGTGGGTCATACCTATCGGAGAAACTCCTTCTCTTCTTCCCTGCCATTGTAGCTAAAGTTAGCTTAGCTGTTGAGAAACTGTTATTTTAAAATTAAATCAAAGGGTTTTGTAATAGATAATGGGTAGGAGACTGTAAGCTCAGGACTGTGCTTCTCAAAGACTGAGTTTAAGTATCAGAATAAAGATTATGGGCTCTACAGCATGAACAATAGGGACATATTTTGTTTCACTGTTTTTATAAACTGTTATATACACTTTATGATATTTAAAAAAAATGTCTATACATGTTGTTTTAAAAGCTTTTTCTAAAATATTTATTTTTTCTTTTTGATAAAATGACTAGCAAAGACAAAAGTACCAGTTACTCATTTTCAGTTTGACATTTTTCCGTATTGGCCTCTAGGACACATAATTCTGTTTTGATGTAAATGAAGTACCTTCCTATGCAATATTTTTATTACCTTTTTCTGTTAATACATTATTTTTTTATTTTTAATTGTTAATATTAATTATTCCTGTTTACCACTTAATTCAGTCACAAGAATCATCCCAACCATGCGTTTGTTCATAGATGTTTTCATTTTTACTTCTTTTGACCAAAGAAAATATTTCCAGCTGTTAAAATAGGAGAATAGTTAAGCAATTTCCACTCAAGGTACTTGAGCTTGTAAACTCATTGTGCAGCATTTTTTCTACTGTAGGAGTCTGAACTACCAAATCTAAACTTCATTTATATATCTGTGTATATTTAGTGCCAAGGTCAATAGAGCATCCTAAATGGGATTGGAGGACAAAACCGGAGAACCATGATTTTGATGAACTAAATCATATTCTTCAAGAGAGCAAAAAACTTGGAAAAGCCCTTGAGAATCTGTCTCGCAGTAAGTTGATTGATTTTAGTATTTTAATGTAACCACTCAGCCTGAATTGTAATTTCAAAGTATATATCAAGAACGTGGTCTTCTATTCAGTGAAGACCGAGTTCATTGACATCAGCAGTTACATTCCTGTTGATGAGGTTTACAGAATGTCTGAGATAATTTAGCAGCTCTCGAACCGACTGAAACTACTTCACCTGCACCTCCTTTTTTTTATATTAGTTTTCTGCTAGTTTAGTGAGCTGAATTACCTCATAAAGAGATCAACACAAGACACTGGTTTAAGGAAAGTGTTAGGAACATGCAGCAGTTAGACTGCTCCTTTGGGTGGTAGCAGTTAGATTGGATTAACCTTTGTGAAGCCTTAACCTCATTGATGGAGATCAGACCTGTCATTGAAAATCAATTAGGTATTTTGTGTCCTTGGCCCCAATGAATTCCTTCCAGTTTTCAAAAGCAATTCAAATAAATATTTTAAAGCATCTCAAATAAATACTCAAAAACATGGTAGCCAACTATTTCATAACAAACCCCAAGTATTATCCCTTAAAAGACATAGTCAAACAGGAGCAGTGTTTAAAAATAATACGCTCGTGTAAGTAGTAGCTCTGAGAACGACTGGATTTGATAAGGAATGGCGCTTTTTTTTTTTCCCCCCTCTTTTCTTTCCTGTAGAAGAAAATTCTGAAGTACACTGGTGGGAGCAAACACTACTAAAAATTATCAAAGTATGAAAAGTACTCTCTGCCATAGTACATGAAAACTAAGTGTGGTGTGGTCTGGGAGACGTTTGAATGAGTAATATTTTGTTTCTCCTCTCATTAAATTTTATTCATGGCACTTTTTGATTCACTGGAAAAATTGCAGATGGTGAGGTCAGAAACAGAGCTGAATGAAAAATGGAAGATTTGGTTTGCGGAGAATTTTGACATTCAGCATTTTTCCAAATTGTGTCAAAAACACAAAACTAATTTGCACAAATTCCCCCTCTCCCAAATCTTTTCGGCTGTTCACAACAATTATATTCTAGGCAATTTTCATATTTATATCAATTATAGTGGTATAGTTACAGGGCTCTTTTCAAATACATTTCTATTAAATTGCTCTATCTGCCTCTAAGGAGATAAATCACCTCCAATGAGGGTCTCAGATTTACAGTACCACCATTGCCTGACCATGTTACTGTGATGGGTGTGTCATTTTCAAGACTTTCTCCTTTAGAAACTTGTAACCAAACTTAACAAAGATAAAGAAACACATTTTTTTTCAATTTCAGAAGGGGTTATGTTTTCACTGTCTGGAGAGACAAACCAATCAGGTGTGAGAGTTCAATAATAAAGGACTAAATCCACTCTTCAATCCTACATCTTTGTCTTTTCTTGTGATATTGTATAGGCTCCACTGAGCTCTGGCTTCCTTATACCGAGAATACAGTTTTCAGCATTCTGTACCTGTCTTTGCCGCAGAGTTTTCTAACTGGAGTACAAAACACTGCAACTCTTCTGGGTTCTACACTTGCACTGGAGGTGAATGTACCTGGTCAGTGTTGTTGGAGTCAGGTTTTCATAGAGCTATTTCACAAATGAAATATTCTTCACTATTTCTTGCTAGTACTTGATGTTTTCTGATGATTTATCAAGATAATATGGAATTTTAATTATATCCCCCAGAGTCCTTTAAATCACTTCCAGCCTGATCCTAAGTTCACTTTCATGTTGTGTGCTCTCTGTTTCTTCATCCAGATCATTAACGGAAATATTGTCAGACCTCTTCATGATTCCATTTCAGATCTGACAACCAGCCCTTGAAAGCTACTCAGTAAGTGTGTTTTTTCCCACCAGATGTTTATCTACCTTGCAGTGATTTCACCTAGAATGTAATTCTCTAATTTGTTTACTGGAGTGTCATCTAGGACAGTAAACAAAATCTTATTATAGCTGAAGTATTTTACATCTACTTCTTCCTCTTACCCACTAGGCAGGTTTCTCAGTTGAGAAAACAATTAGACTGATTTGATGTGATTCATTCTTGATAAATTCACGATGGCTGGTTCTTATCACCTTTCCTATCCATTAGATGTTGATACATTGTTTATTTAACAATTTTGTCAAATATTCTTGCTGCTGTCAGATTTAGTCTTGCTGGTTAGTAGTTTCCCATGTCTTCCCTTTTTCTTTCCTAAAGAAAGATATGGTATTTGCCCTTCTCTGTCCTCTCCGTTCCTGAAAGACAGTTGCTAATGGATTAGAGGTTTCTTCAGCTAGTTAGTTAAGTGCTCTAGAGTGAATTTCACAAGATTCTGCCAACTTGAATATATGTAAGTCATCACAATATCTTTCAGCTTTCCATCATCTGGCTTGCAGTTTTTCCTCTTAAAATCACTAGTGTTAAGCATCTGGCCACGATTAATTTTTTTGTAAAGACTGAAGCAGTGAAAGTATGGAACACTGGGATTTCTTTGTATCATCTGTTATTTGCTTTCCTTCTCTTCGATGTAATAGTTCTGTATTTGACTTTGTCCTCCTTTCCTAGTGTATTTATGGTATCTTTTCTTGTGGCTTTTTGTGTTCTTTGATAGTTGTTACTCATTTTGCACTTCAGCCTTTTTGGTTGTATCATTTAAGCGCTTGCATCAGATTAATTCTAAGCTGTATGTCCTTGTTTCCAGTTTTTGTACTCCTGATTTTCAGATCACTTCTGGAAATAATCTGTGCTGTGATTTCTTATGTGTTAGGATGATATAAAAATTCAAAATGAAAAATGTCAAAAGTTTGAAAAAAAAGAAAAGGTATAATTTTGAAAATAAATGTGGTTTTATTGTTCTCCCAAAGGTAGAATACAGATTGCATATAGAAAATATCTTAGAGGGTTTCAATGAATATCTTAGGGTTTGAATGAATATCTTAGAGGGTTTCAACGTCTAGAACTTTAAAAGTATAAAACGTGAAACTTGCTCTGTGCTGTGCCCAACAAGCATCCCTATTACAAAAGCCATGACAAGGTCCTGTAGCTACCTTCTCCAGTGTTAATGCTTGTTTTAGGCAGGCTAGTTAGTGCTTTTGATTCTACAAGCATGTCTGTAAAGTCTATGAGTCTAATGCACCTTTGATACTAATCTGTTTTTGGAGCAGTGTTGGACAGGCACGTGGCTCAACACGTAGTTCGCTATGCAGATGATTACAACGTACTATCAACCGTCTTTTACAGCACCCTCTCGTTTCATTCTTCAGTATTTTAACAGGGAAGAGTGCCACATAAAACCAGATGTTTGAAGTTAAATGAATTTTCCATCAAGTCCTGGAATTAATTTCCATTTTTAAAGATAAGCTTTGGATCGTGTAGTGAGTTTCCAGGACTTCGTTGCCTGCTATGTAGCTGACACAGCCTGTGAATTAAACTCTAGTTTCTATTGCTTCATTCACTATGCAGTCCAGATAGCTGCTTTGAAACAAACCTGTGCACTTCACGCAAAATTAGAACTGCCTGAAAGCTTTGGAAGGTGAGGCTCAGGCATCTGAATGTCTGGTCTCTCCTATGTTCAGTCCTCCTAGTGATTAAAAGTGAACTTCCTTATATTTATAGCCCTTCTCCCAAGCCCCACCAAGACAATGTGTGTGTAATTCTGTGCTGCAGTAGATCTGAGAAACCAAAAGTGACTTCACACTCCGTGTTAGAAGTATCTTACGAGTTTCGAGAGACTGGAAAAGATTATTGCCATAATGATGGTCTAAGTGCTTTGGAGCTTGGGGATTTAAGTATACTGTTTTCCAGAGGCCTACTCATGTGGGAAACCTGGGTTTTGTTTGCTTCTCCAGTCAGTTGTGTATCATTGAAGTGAATTCTGAACTACCAAGTCAACTAATTAGGGGAGATTTTGGTTGATGAAGCAACAAACAGGAATATACTGCATTTCCCTTGTGCATGTTTTGTTTTCTTCGATTGCAAGGTCTCTCATCTTTATTGCTGTCACCCTTCTCCCTCAGCTGATCATAAGTATGAAAAGTTCCATGCCGTTTCAAATGTATGCTCTTGTATTTCCCCTTCTGGCCTGTCTGCCTTTTGAAGGGAGTTAAAATCTCCTGTATAGCTGAGGATCTTGCTCATGAATATATCTGTCTTCAACCCCCATTTTCTAAGGGTGGAAAAATAGATAACAAGAGATGGAAAACTGTGAATTATGAGTGTTTTGAGTGGTAAAAATGAGGACTAAATCAACAAGAGCTTGCTGCAAAGTAGATATGAAGTCTGCCTGCTTTGTGAGCAACTTTAACTCTTTTATATGAACAGTTAAGGATTAGAGCATGTATTGAAAATGTATGCATATAGAATGTTTCAGTTACACATGGTAACAGCATTTGATGACACTTAATGTGTTCTACTGTGCGATGGGTACTTTTTCATAATTACACATAGCCTTTCAGCAGAGATTACTAACAAAATTTTGATTATGTTTGAATCCTTGTTAAAGCCAGGTGTATACTACAAATCAGAGGGGAAGAAACAAATTTATCATGCTTTGAATTCAGTAGACATTCTAAGGTCAGAAAATGGTAGTAAGTTAACATTAACCAAAGCTATTTGGGAAACAATTCAAGTCGATTAGTTGGGGGCAATCCCAGAAATAATGGAATCTAGCTATAACCAATAGGAAAAAAGTACTCTTGTTTCTTAATTTGGTAGGGGAGTAATCAGTAAATCAATAATTAGTAAATAAGATCTGCAGTCTAGTAGGAAATATTGCTGGAAACCGTAAAGAATCATAGAATCACAGAATGGTTGAGGTTGCAAGGGACCTCTGGAGGTCATCTGGTCAAAACCCCCTGCTCAAGCACAGCCATCTAGAGCCATTCATCCAGGACTATGTGCATGGCTTTTGAATATCTCCAAGAATGAAAGATCCCTGAGTCCCTCTGAAGTATCACAAACAGTTGTTTCTCACAATGTTAGAATCAGTTGATGTTGTTTATGCGTAGCTTAAGAAAGACAAGCATGATCTTATCCGT